TGGTGGTATGGTGGTTCTGTTAGTTATAGCGTTGTAACAAAGCACGACGATTCACATGGACACGGTGGTCACGGTGGTCATGGTGGTCATGATGGCCATCATGAACATAGCAGTTATGTTATAACTTCGCATGGTGGAGGACATGACGGCGGACATGGTGGATATGATGGTGGACATGGTGGTCATGATGGCGGTCACGATGGAGGACACCATGGCGGTCACGAAGCTCACCATTATCCTAAATATGAGTTCAGTTATGGTGTTGAAGATAAACATCATGGAGATAAAAAAAGTCAATGGGAACATCGTGATGGTGGCCATGTGAAAGGTAATGAAGTACATTTATATATAATTTTATTAACATATTCACATAATATGATTATTTACATTGTTTTTATAGGTAGTTACTCACTTAAGGAAGCTGATGGCACTACTCGTGTTGTAGAATACACTGCTGATAAACACAGTGGGTTCAATGCTAAGGTTCATAAAATCGGACATGCCCACGGTGGTCATGATGGAGGTCACGATCATGGTCACGGACATGGTCATGGTCATGGACATGGTGGTCATGGAAGCAGTTACGTTAATGTTAAACAACATCATTAAATGCGAAAGAATTTCATAGTGAAAAACTATAGAATATATATCAGTGCAAACTGTTAAAATAGTTGTTTAATATGTAAATAATAAATACGAGTATTCATATAGGAATAAAAATGTTTTACTTTGAAAATGTTTACATTATAAGATATAGTGTTTAATTTGTTAAATTTTTAATTACAATATTGAAATGGAAATTGCTTTCGAATAAGTGGAGTACATCTGTATATCATTTACTAAGTACCCAATAATTACAAAACTTTTAAGAGAAGGGTGAAAAATAGCTATTTGGTTCTTTGTTCTTTTAAAGTATTAGTCAATTTATTAGTCAATATAATTATAGATTTGTTGTAAATTCGTTCCAATTTGAAACAAAACTTCACTAATTTAACGAGAATAAACTATGAAGAAGTTACCAATATATTAATTTAGATTATTTATCTTATTTAAAGTCTTTGTATTAGGAAGTATTTGAAACACGCTCAAATATTTTAAACATTATATGTTTTTAGAAAATAAATTATAAATATTTTGTAGAAATTTTAAGAAAATAGCTTGTTTGCATTTACATTTTGAGTCTGTTTGTTTTGAAATCGTCTTTGTTGTATTAAATTTGAAGATCAGTCAATAAATTATTTATGCAATAATATTTTTGTGAAGCAATATAAGCATCAGCATTGTACGATTCCTTTATATAATTACTTCACATAACAGTTCATATGTTAGCATAAGTAGAGAACTCTCTTGTTAAGATTATGGAATCAAATTAGTATAAAATATAGAGAACATAAAATTCTCAAAAGTATTCCATTAAACACTTTTGACAAATTATTTTTTGTGCACATATTATATACAATCTCTACTTCATATTTTATATAAAATAAAATATTTGAAAAATTTTACAAATATAGTTTGGAGTATGAAAAGATATCAAGCATTTTTATATTCTACTATTCTACTTGTATAATAGACCTAAACTGCAGCATTTCTATATAAGAGACTGTCATTAACGCAAGGACCAAACTGTTTGAAATATTTTGATAATAATATTCTAATGTTATTTCTGGAGAAAAATATGTTTGCTAATGAAAAAACGATTCCAAAAAAAAATGTTAATGAAAATCTCTTTAAAAATATTGAAAATCAATCTAGTATAACAAACATGTAGTCAATAATAATATAATAATGATGTTTAGTCAAGCTCCTACCATATAAGAGAAAATAATAATGTTATTTCTAACATAATATTGCAAACAATTGGTGGAAAATGTCCTACTCGTATTTTATCAGTATAATTAGAAGTAAAAATTATTGTAGTGACTGTCAAGTGAAATGAAAAATACTATTATATGTTATATAAAAAGAAAAATAGAAGAGAATCATATGGAAATAAAATTTAAATTAAAAGGAAGTGATCTATGTACTTGATAATACACTAGCATATTTTTGATATGTTCCATTAAGGTTTTTAATATAAAGTGATTTTATTCGTTTATAGTACTGTACAAAATGTTAGAAATTCGACTATGTGTTACAATCTTCATTGCACTTGTTAAACTGATCGTTTTTATAGATAAAAACAAGGCCGTTGTTGTTAACGGTTTATATGAGAGCGGGTTGAATTGCAAATCCAAAACGAATTTTACCGATTATCTTATTTTAAAGAATGAGTCAAATGTATTACAACAATTTCCGAATTTCTATACTCGTATATTGACCTTTTAGCAATCAGTTTAAAGGGCAAAATTTAGTATAAATACTTAAATAATTCAATTTATTTATCAGTTCAATAATTAGTTTCCAACAGCAGAGTAATCTTATCCATTGTATAATATTAGAGTATAGTTTTAAAATCATAAAATTTTATAATGAAACTACTAAGCATTGGTGGATTAGCTTTTGTACTTGTTGGATTGGCTTCAGCAGGACATCATCATGGTGGTGGTGGTGATGGTGGTCATGGTGGTTCTGTTAGTTATAGCGTTGTAACAAAGCACGACGATTCACATGGACACGGTGGTCATGGCGGTCATGGTGGTCATGATGGCCATCATGAACATAGCAGTTATGTTATAACTTCACATGGTGGAGGACATGACGGCGGACATGGTGGATATGATTTTGGACATGGTGGTCATGATGGCGGTCACGATGGAGGACACCATGGCGGTCACGAAGCTCACCATTATCCTAAATATGAGTTCAGTTATGGTGTTGAAGATAAACATCATGGAGATAAAAAAAGTCAATGGGAACATCGTGATGGTGGCCATGTGAAAGGTAATGAAGTACATTTGTATATAATTTTATTAACATATTCACATAATATGATTATTTACATTGTTTTTATAGGTAGTTACTCACTTAAGGAAGCTGATGGCACTACTCGTGTTGTAGAATACACTGCTGATAAACACAGTGGATTCAATGCTAAGGTCCATAAAATCGGACATGCCCACGGTGGTCATGATGGAGGTCACGATCATGGTCACGGACATGGTCATGGACATGGTGGTCATGGAAGCAGTTACGTTAATGTTAAACAACATCATTAAATGCGAAAGAATTTCATAGTGAAAAACTATAGATATATCAGTGCAAACTGTTAAAATAGTTGTTTAATATGTAAATAATAAATACGAGTATTCATATAGGAATAAAAATGTTTTACTTTGAAAATGTTTACGATATAAGATATAGTGTTTAATTGCTTTCGAATAAGTGGATTACATCTGTATATCATTTACTAAGTACCCAATAATTACAAAATTTTTAAGAGAAGTGTGAAAAATAGCTATTTGGTTCTTTGTTTTTTTAAAGTATTAGTCAATTTATTAGTCATTAATTAATTTATTATTCGTTCCAAACTGAAACAAAACTTCACTAATTTAACGAGAATACACTATGAAGAAGTTACCAATATATTAATATAGATTATTTATCTTATTTAACGTCTCCATATTAGGAAGTATTTGAAACACGCTCAAATATTTTAAACATTATATGTTTTTAGAAAATAAATTATAAATATTTTGTAGAAATTTTAAGAAAATAGCTTGTTTGCATTTACATTTTGAGTCTGTTTGTTTTGAAATCGTCTTTGTTGTATTAAATTTGAAGATCAGTCAATAAATTATTTATGCAATAATATTTTTGTGAAGCAATATAAGCATCAGCATTGTACGATTCCTTTATATAATTTCTTCACATAACAGTTCATATGTTAGCATAAGTAGAGAACTCTCTTGTTAAGATTATGGAATCAAATTAGTATAAAATATAGAGAACATAAAATTCTCAAAA